AGAGCATGGAGGCGCTACCAGAAGACAGGCCAGTACATCAGGAGACGTGGAGGAGGCCATAGGAGGGCAACAACCCAGCAGCAGGACCGCTACCTCCGCCTTTGTGCAAGGAGGAACAGGAGGAGCACTGCCAGAACCCTGCAAAATGACCTCCAGCAGGCCACAAATGTGCATGTGTCTGCTCAAACAGTCAGAAAGACTCCATAAGGGTGGTTTGAGGGCCCGACGTCCACAGGTGGGGGTTGTGCTCACAGCCCAATATCGTGCAGAGAACACTAAGATTGGCAAATTCGCCACTGGCACCCTGTGCTCTTCACAGATGAAAGCAGGTTCACACTGAGCACATGTGACAGACGTGACAGAGTCTGGAGACACCATGGACAACGTTCTGCTACCTGCAACATCCTTCAGCATGACCGGTTTGGCAGTGGGTCAATAATTGAGTGGGGTGGCATTTCTTTGGCGGGCCGCACAACCCTCCATGTGCTCGCCAGAGGTAGCCTGACTGCCATTAGGTACCAAGATGAGATCCTCAGACCCCTTGTGAGACCATATGCTGGTGCGGTTTGCCCTAGGTTCCTCCTAATGCAAGACAATGCTAGACCTCATGTGGCTGGAGTGTGTCAGCAGTTCCTGCAAGACGAAGGCATTGATGCTATGGACTGGCCCGCCCGTTCCCCAGACCTGAATCCAATTGAGCACATCTGGGACATCACGTCTCGCTCCATCCACCAACATCACGTTGCACAACAGACTGTCTAGGAGTTGGCAGATGCTTTAGTCCAGGTCTGGGAGGAGATCCCTCAGGAGGCCATCCACCACCTCATCAGGAGCATGCACAGGTGTTGTAGGGAGGTTATACAGGCACATGGAGGCCACACACACTTCTGAGCCTCATTTTGACTTGTTTTTAGGATATTACATCAAAGTTGGATCAGCCTGTAGTGTGTTTCTCCACTTTAATTTTGAGTGTGACTCCAAATCCAGACCTCCATTGGTTGAAGAATTTGATTTCCATTTTTTAATTTTTGTGTGATTTTGTTGTCAGCACATTCAACTATGTAAAGAACAAAGTATTTCAGAAGAATATTTAATTCATTCAGATCTAGGATGTGTTATTTTTGTGTTCCCTTTATTTTTTTGAGAAGTATTTACAACGAGTACAATATTCAGAGAATGAAAACATAAACCTCTTTGTTTTAACATGCAACAGCTGACAGTCAACATTAACAGATTTACAAAATGTCTCGGTAATGCTTCTGAACTGTTGAATGTATTCTGAAGCATGTCTGGTTAACATAATGTACTTATTTATTTCAGTGCAGAACTAAAATAGAGAGAGCCATGCTGCGAGAATTTATTTGCCCCCCTCTTTCCCCCCCAGCCCCTATTGCAAGGATGGACAAAAAGGTACATACGCATCTGTCGTACAACTCCTACAATGCTTTACCAGCTGGGGATCTGCCACTTGCTCACCCTTACAGGGTTGTATGTAGCACTGAACAATGTTTGTGTGAATGTAAGCATGGTTTTGTATGGAATATGTGAGGGTAGGGGTGTATTTGTGTGTTTTTATGTACTGTTGCCATTTGAAAGCAGTAGTTTACTTGTGTGTAGTGTTTGGTTTTAAATGTAGGGGTGTGTATGAAGTGTTAACGTTTGAATGCAGGGGTGTATTTGTGTGTAGTGTTGGAGTTTAAATGCTGAGATGTATATACATATACATATACACTGCCACACATGCACACTGATACACATACACACACACACACACTGACACATCCGGATACACACACACAAACACACATACAGATAACCAAGTACAGACATGGAGATACACAGACACACTAATACATATACACACATGCAGATACAGATACACATAATGACACTCATACAGATACAGAGAGTCTAGAGACACAAATACAGACACACAGATTCGATGATACATACATACACAGATACACACACACACACACATCATATAACATATGTTGATAACAGATAACATATATACACACACACAGATAATAGCATGAACTTCAGTTAAAGGAGCACTCCACACATATATCACTCCAGCAGGCTGCCAACAGGCTTGCTTCTCCCCCAAATCACAATGAGTTTGTAAGCGCACGCATGCTCACAGGGCTCAGTTTACCTTTACATCCCCGGCTCACCGAAGACAAAATCAAAGGCTTGAACAGTCTCTGGTCATTTCCCCAACACAGAATTTTAGGGGATGGCGTACAAAGACTGTATCTACTATATAGTGATTTTTTGTTTTCCATATATAAATTTTAACATATTTTACAATATTCATTAAGACAAAAATGACTAAGAAACAAACACCTAAACAACAAAACAAAAACAAAGACAAAGTGGTGTATAAACACTATCACAAGTATCTTCAGTGCTATAATCCATATTTGCACATACATGCTGTCATATTGATCATTTCATAAATGCTTTTTTTCTTAACATTTACAAATTATTTAATTCAATATGACGTATCAATTAAATTATGTATTCCCCTAATATAGCCATTAATTATTTAAGTTATTTAAACATTTAAACATGGCCCTACTTCTATCTCAATTTATCATCTACCAATATATTTATTATCAAAATATTTTGTTATGATAAATATATTCATCCTTATTCTTCAAATTAGGTTCAGTGAATTCCAAATTCCTTCTTATAGCTACGAGTTTCTAACCATAAACCATTTCTGCCATCTTTTAATATATTTTTCTTCAACTCCTACCAATCGGCTTGCCATTCTCTCATACGTACTTGAAGAATCTAGTCGGGACATAATCTCTTTAAACAATGGTGGTTGGGACTGTTTCCACCTATATGCTATAGCTATTTTTGTTGCTATTAAGCAATGTATTATTATTGTTAGTACTTCCTCCTGTGGTGTTAACTGAAACATATGTAAAAGGTAGCGTCTTGGTTGCCACTTGATATCTGCGTTTAAACCTTCTCTGAAAAAAGATTCCACCTCATGCCAAAGTGGTATAATTAATGGACACTCCAAGAAAATTTGGTACAGATTACCTATATTCTCACGGCATCTCCAGCATACTTCTGAAGTTGCAGAATACAATTGAGCTAATCTAGAGGGAACCATGTACCATCTCATACTCAATTTACAAAATGCCTCCCAGCGTAATAAGCTTCTGGAAGCTCATTTCATAATTTTTAACGCCTTATACCAGATATCGAGCGGTAATTGTTTATTTAGGTCTCTCTCCCACTTCTGCACATACGATATGATATTCCCATCCATAGATGTTAAAATGTTATAACAGAATGAAAGAACCTTTTGATTTAGATTTTTTTTTGTTTGGGCAGTGGAGAATAGAGAAATCTGATCTCCCTAAACGTTCTGAAACAAATCAGAGATCACCATAAATCTCATTAATCAGTGATATGCAGCAGTTACCAGTGTAAGGATGAACATTTTATAAACTGATAAGGGCTGGGCTCCCCTCATGAGCACTCCTCAGAGGTAGCCACACAGCAAGCCTCTACTTAGCTTGCATGATTAGAGACTTTCTCACCATCATGACATCAGAGGGGCAAGTCAGACCTGTTCACTGGGACATTCCTAAAGACAGGTGATTGAGAGCAAGCCAAGGTTTAACTGACTGGTGCTTGTCACAGCGGATCGTGTTATAATTAGTAAATGGTTGGTCATGCTGGATTTATTCGTTTTACTTTGAGTTTGTAAGAATGACACGTTTAATGCAGATAGACTACTTTCAGGTAGGTTGTGTAATGGATGAATAAAGTTTTCTTAAACTGAAGATACCACATTACAAATATAGGTGCTTGCAATAGGGGCTATACAAGATATGGTTTTGGGTTTTTTTAAATCTTTTTTTTATCTTTTAAAAAAGGATCTGGACCCTTCATGTTCTAAAAACCGTAAGATGAGGAAGAAACTCTGCAGTTATGATTTTAGTCAATGCAACCCTGAAGAATACATTTCATTTTATAAGAGTCCCCAATCAGAATGCAATTCAATGTATGCATGTATTAATTCACATCTCTACCTGCACTGGGCAGCAGAACATTGCTATGGGTGAAGTGGGGGTCTGGAATAGAGGAGGTGGTTTGTCAGGGTTATTAGTAAGTCCTGAAAAGATCTGTGTATTCTCATAAGTGTAATTTTGGCAACAAATTTCCATTTAGTTTTAGTCAGAATCTTTTGACTTGTTAAAACCTCTATCTCTTTTGCCCATTCCCCGGTCCCTCTGTGTCTCTTTGTGTCCTCCCAGCCCCTCTAGGTATCTCTCTCCTAAGCCCTGGTCTGTCTCTTTTGCCCCTTCTTCAGCCCCTCTGTGCATTGTTAATTGTGGCAGCAAATTTCGATTTGGTTTTAGTCATAGTCTTTTGACTAAAATGCCATTTTAGTTTTAGTCATATTTAAGTCATCTGAATTGTTTTATTTTTAGTCGACTAAATCAAATTGTTGGTCTACGAAATTAACACGGATTCTGTTAGGGTCAGTCATTCCCTGTGTACACATTTACAGACATACTCACTGTGTGTATGTTTTTTCTTTTATCAATCACATTTTTTATTGAAGAAAATGCATGGCAGACAGAGTTAACAATTCAATAAATGTCATAAAGCATGTGTGTACGCCATATAAAGATTAACAATACCTCATTATACAATAGAAAAAAATAAAATAAACAAAAAAAAAGATAAGTGACAACTTAATATTAGCAGGATAATCAGATAGTAAAGTGAAAAGAGAAGTCAAATGAACAGACATCTACGGGAGCAGCTGTAAGTGTAAGTTTCATAGAGATGAGACTAATAATAGAAAAAGGCTAAAAATGAAAGATAAACAATCAACAGGCAAGAGCTTCTGCTGTGACCTCTCTTGTGCCGGCCTGTTTCCAACAGAAAGTCAACCAAAGCCCCTGTCAGGAAACAAGCTTGCAAGCAGTCGCGGTGGCTGTGTAGGCCAAGTTGAGTATGGCAATCCAACATGAGGGTACGGTTCTGAAGTGAACTTGCTCTGTGTCTAGGCACATATCTGTAGCGCCAACCAGAAACCCTCCATAAATGCAGTCAGCGCACAGTAGTATAGGACTTAGAGGCTTGCAGCCTAGTTGGGTGAGGAGGGGTAGTGATAACTGAAGGAGCCCAAGCACAGGTCGTCTGGTCAGCATCCTCCACAGAAAGCTGAAAGGATGACCCTATCACCTGGCTCACTGGTCCAAGTGAATCGGGAACGCATGGCATCAAAAGCATGGAGGAAGGCAGACATATATGATTGCACTGTTTCCCGTGCCTGTTGGACCATGGCCCTATTATTTATTAAGATTGTATTGAGGAAAGATGAGATATATTTAATACTTTTGGAATAAAAGTGAGATAATTAGGGATTGCAACTATATTACTTCCATTGTGCAAAACCATGCAATACATTTAATAATATTTGCTAAGAGGACAGTGAAATTGGATTCTACCAGAGTATTACACGGTATCCATCTGTAATCTGAAGATTAAGCGTGTGGCTCATTCAGCACGATGAATGTCATTAATATACTATTAATTACTTATGCATAATTACATAAATCAGTGGCTGGAGCTGAGAAAAACTGATGTTTTGTATGACCAGATCCTGGCCTTAACGGAGAGCCGTCTCTGTAATTTACACAACGTAAAGGCACACTATACGCATCCAGACCACTTCAGCTCATTGAAGTGGTCTGGGTGCAGTGTCCCAGGTTTTAATAAATACCTTTGAGGTTCAACTCCACCACTAGAGGCACTTCCGTGTGGTTGGGCGATTTTTGGTCTCCTGACACTGGACGTCCTCATGACAGCCAGCATCACCAATGCTTTCCTGTGGGAAAAAAAAACACATGCGCATTAGGTCTTCTCTGCTGGCTGTTGATGGGGGAGAAGCAGAGGCAGAGCACAAACCAGTGGCGAGGGACATCGGTGCTAGACCCAGCTAAGTGACAGAATGGGTTTTTAACTCCTTCTGCACCATGGGGGGGGGGGGGGGGGGGGGAAGTTATATTTTCGGGAAAACAAGTTTTTTTTTTCTGGCACTATAGTTTCCCTTTAATAAAATATTGTAAAACAATTATTCTTCTTCTGTATTCCTAACATAATAAAACGGCACTGGCACCGTGCCATTTTCTTTTGGTGGGTCCCTTTCAGCTTCAGGAGTCAATGTCACTTCTTTACTCATAGCATTGAAGTCTGTGGAGGAACCTGCTGTGTTACCAATTCCATGCAGCCTGGTGACAGCTGGGGGGGCTTGACACTTCTAGACGGCGGTAGTGCTATCCAGTGTCTAGAATTGTCAGGCGGAGGAGAAATACAGAAACTAAGTGTAGCGGAACACCTGGTAACCCGACCGGTTACCCTTCGCTATTTCTCTTCCTTCACCTGAACTGGAACCATTTAGGATATACAAAGACCCAATTCCCCCCAGTAACTGGACAACACACAGTTTTGGAGGTACAACAACACTTTATTGGCCACACACATGGCTTTTAAACATAACCCCATGCAAGGGGTGTAACACACAGCATACAATGTCCCCTCCCAGGGTCCTCCCCCTCTCCGGGAACCTAACGGGAATCCAAAAGCCCGCCACCCAAACACAGGGTTTCCCACATCTGGGGACCAGGGGATCTTCATCCCATGAGCCTCTGAACCTAGGAGACCAAGTGCGGGAAAAAGAGACCGTCCCTTTGTCTCTCGGGCACAGAGAGGCTGCCCATGGGAAAAGAGCTGGTCTCTTTGTCCAGGCGGGCACCGCAAAGCCAGCCAAACTCGCCAGCGCCCCAGAAGTGTCCACACCAACCTCAGGGACCCTCACAACAGCCCCTGCTGTGAACCGCCTCTGTTCACGGGGTCCCTGTGTGGAAACCATGCAAGGGAAGAATCTCCTTTCGCGATATGATTGCTCCCCCTGGGTGCCATTTGTCTATACGAAATGGCGGCCACCCAGGGTAGCATTCATTAATTACTTCCCTTGCGGTTTAACACTTATGTTGCAAGTGCGAACATTCTAATTGATTGGCGTGAACATTCTAATGGGGCACTGGGGAGACCCTCGTTTGGAAAATGAACGAGTCGGGAAACAATCCATGAATGCTCCCCCTGGCTAGCGTTCATCTGTGGCGAGGTGTGAAGGTTTTAAGCCAACATTCTAAATGGGGTATCGGGAGGTGAATGAATTCCCTTTGTGGGAAAACACAGAATATCAGACTGGCAATTCACAGACCGGCAGCAGTCCCGCCACACTAAGTAATCCCTATATCTGTATATCAGTATTCAGTAAAATTCCAACACAGTCAATATGCGTTAAGTATTGAGTATTCCTATCTTTTTGAAATGCTAATTTCAACAGCGACAACCGTGTCACTTTAAGCATAATTTAAAATTTGATTCAGACTTTTTTGTTACATTAATCATCTATTTTTTCTAAAAAAAATATTTCTGCAGTGATATTTTCACAGGGGGGGCGGGGGAGAGGCTCACAGGGTCTGCGCATCTCAAAACACGAGATATAAACCACACGGAGGTCATTGAGGAGACTTGGACATCTCTGCTTAGGCCACGGTAAAACAATATTGGTAGGGTCAGGTTATAGGACATGTTGCCTACACAAGGGATTAATCAGTTTATACGGACGCTGGGCATAGATGGGGAATTTGCACAGATAAACTCCCTGACAGCCCAAAGCTCTGGTGACTTGGAGAACCGAGCTCCAGCAACAGTCTCTGCCAGCCTTAGGCCCAGATGATAGTCAACACATATGCACCATGGTCCCAGATATCAGTAATGTCCAAGTCACTTTCCCGGGAGAGCAGAGAAAGATTTAGGTTGCTGGATTTGATGGGTCTGCCTGTTGACACTCCACGTTTGTGGACAGTGTAAGGAGGTAAGTCCCCTAATGGCTCTTCTCCTTGGAAGGCATGGCTGCCGTTTAGGACCTACTTTCTTGTAGTGGCTATGCTTCTCCCAAAAAATTATATTTCCACCTGTATGACCTTTACACGTTTTGTTTTTTTACACCCGTTGATAATTACAATATTATTTTGTATCATTGTATTATCATTTCAGACTCTTCCTCTGAAAACTCAAGCAGGCATTCCAATAAATAGCTGCGTCGTTACTAATCTGACTGTAAATCATAAGCAGACAGGAGGCGTTCCTTATCACTTATAATCAGCAATTCAAGTGATCGTATTTTGCTGTTCTACTAAAATAAGAAGATAAAAATGTCTTTTAAACCAGTCGCATTGTGCCACACATAATTAACTAACAACATAAGCAAATCTGTAGGCCAATTTGGATTAAGAAGTCACTGAATTTTAAAGAAATGTATAAAGAGTTGACTGGTACAGGATAGAAGTTATAAAGTCATCCAAGAACAAGTGTCAAACATGCACACAGCTGAAACCAACTTACAATTTTAACTCTTTAATTACAGTGGGTACACTTTTTGAACGAAAACTAATTTTGGTACAGAGTTTGCCACATTGCAATTTATATTCAGATATACAAGAAACTCGTCTTAATTGAGGGCAGGTAAAGTGCAGGCTGCCATATGTATTTCACTGAATAAATCCCTGACATTTTTTTCACAAGTACAGCCAAATGAGGGCAAGATTCTATAATACGAGATCAGCAAATGTCTAGAAATCGAATGATGGTTTTCATTTAGATGTCAGTTACCATAGACATAGTTTATTTCTTGTAATCTAATCTAGCATTGCTAATGGTCAAGTAGTAATAACATGTCACACTCAGTGCACAGGTGTCTGAAGGGACACCTGTGCGAAACTAAGGCTTTCATGAAGTTTGGCCTGAAAAAACTGAAAACAGGTTTGATAAGTATAGACGTCGGTAATGGATTCCAGTGTGAGTTAAAAACTTAGATTAACTCCTACTTTACTACTAAACTACAGTAACACAGTACTCTGCTTACACTTTAACCATCTACTGAATAGGTGAAACAATTCAAAGCCATTAATAAGTGTCATTTACAATCTATCGGGAAGCCTTTCTCACCATGGCTGTTGTGGACTACAAAATAGCACATGGCCTCCCATACTGCAGAGCAGCAGTGGAGTGCCAGATGATGGCCATCACCGTAGAAATGCATACCGCAGAGCTAGTTTAATTATTAGATGGGTAGAGAAATGATTAATGACTGTGTGAAAGAATTCCTTGGCCAAGAGTTAACGTCACCCTCCCTTCTAACACTTCATAACATAAACATTTGTACTTTATATTCCACTTCCAGTACAATTTAACAAGTTACACAACCCTTGGTGTCAATAAATTCAGTCCTTGCATCCTGCAACTTGTGAGAGGAGCTAGGTTTAAACTTGTCGAGGACATAAATGACATTTCCTAATATCAATTAAACTTGTTTTCATTAAGGCCTGCATCCTTTGACATTGCATGAATTTCCTATTGCACAAAAGATGCACTTGAGTTGGCTCTGTCACAAAAACACAAACTACTTATTTAGAGCAGTAAATCTCTAGAATGCCTTAATAATCTAACACACACAAGAGTAGGTGAATAAACCTATTAATGGGCAACAATCACATTACAATCAGGCTTTTTTTCCCTTTGCAACTTTTTATTTTAGTATCTTTTCACAAAACAGGAATATATGGTGATTTGTAAAATTCGCAGATAAGACATTTTGCCAAGGTGTCTGTTTTATTAGAAGCAGATTATAAACTCACGTAACCGGTTTTGTGAATAAAACCCTATACGTAGCATTCTAAAGGTGACAAATATCAGTTTTTATACAAATATTTTATCTAATAATCCAAGCTAAAAGTGAAATACAGTGATATTACAGAGCAGATTTAATTGCAGCCATCTCCTCGTCATGTGAGCAATCATGAATCTTAAAGGAACACTATAGCGTTAGGAATACAAATATGTATTCCTAACGCTATAGAGCCCAAGTCACCTAAACGATGACTTGGGCCCTGTTCTGCGGCAAATAAATGGTTTTTCATTTATTTGCTTACCTTAATCCAGCACCGGGATTCTTCGGCGTTGGTGACCTCTCCTCCTTCATTGATGTCCGCTCCTGAGTGGAGCCGAATGCGCATTACTCAGTGCTGGGATCTTTTTTAACGCTGCAGGTCCGTGAGGACATCCAGCGTCAAATAAGTACGATTTACTCCGGGTAAATTGCGGAAGCGCCTTCCGTGGCTGGCAGGGACGCTGAAACTGCTATGTTTACAGCTGCAGGGTTAAAATTAGGGGGACCTGCCACCCAGACCTCTTCATTGAGTTGAAGTGGTCTTGGTGCCAATAGTGGTCCTTTAACGTTATCAAGTATACATTTAGTAGGGTTAAAAGTAAGAACCAATTTATATTTTGGATAGTTAAAGTTGGTTGCAGGGATTTAAAAAAGTTATCAGATAGGAAAGAATTACTAAGTTTCTCCTTGTGGTTACAGATTTTAAACCAATCCATATGTGCTGGAGGTATACATTATCCAAAGTTCTGACTTCGTATAGAATAGTGGCAATTTTGAAATGTAACATACAGGGCCGGCCTTAGGGGTGTGCGAGCTGTGCGGCCGACACAGCTCACACATGGCTGGCCGGGATTATACATTTTAAAAAAAACTATGCGATGGGGCGGAGCTTATTGTGCGGTGGAGGCAGAGCTAAAATGACGGCGGGGATGAGCTAAATGTGCCGGGTAACTGCAGCAAGGGAAGCAGGAAGGAGTCCCTGCTTCCCCCAACAACCAGTCTCCAGGAGCTGCACTGCCTCCTCCATAAGGAACAGAGGTAACTTTGTGTGATTGTCTGACTGTGTGTGTGACTCTCTGCCTGTGTGTCTGTCTGACTGTCTGTGTGTGTGTATGTGTGACTGCATGTAAGTGTGTAAGAATGTATGTGTGGCTGTATGTACGCGACTATCCATTTGTACCTGTTTGTGTGACTGCCTGCCTGTAATTGTGTGTGAATGTGTTTATCTGCCTGTACCTGTGTGTTTCTGCCTGCGACTGTGTGCATGTGGCTGTATTTGACAGTGTATATGTATAACTGTGTGTATCTGACTGTGGGACTCATGCACAGGCCTAAATGCATATTTTTAGCTGAATTAACAACCCATCATACACAGCCAATAAACCCAGCAAAATATCACCTATGACCAATACACGCATATCACACAGTTTATCCACCCATTACAAATATCACACACAGTCATCACACCCATCACATACACAGACAACACAAACATTACATCGTATTATAGAGATGTATTACAGTGGAGCTCTGGTATATAAAGTGCACATTACTGGAACATTAGGGAACTCTGTGATACACTAATAGGCACATTACTTGGAGTTGTATTGTTGTGAAGTGTTTGAGCTTGTCACAGAGTTCCACATTACCATGAGTTTTATTGTTGTGGAGTTCTGTTATAAACTGGCACACACCACATAGTACTGTGAGGGCTTTTTTTTACTTCTGTGGAGCTCAGTGATAAATGGAGAAACAGCGCACTACTACAAATTTTTATTCCAAAGAGATCAAGGTAAATAAGTATAATCCAGAGCTCACAAGCAAAACAACTCACAGTATTATGTGACATACTTAGTCTGCTCCTCTGTAATGTAGGGGAGGCAGTCTGGCACCTCTGGCCTGCACTTCTGTTGGCTGCAGACCATAAGTAGCGGTCTTCCTAGCTCGGGATAATCAGAGCGTTGCTGCAGATTGCCAGAGGATACTGCAAGTCCCTGAGCTTGCGAGACAGTTACGCATGGCCTGTACCCAGTGGAGGGGCAAACCAGATCCAGACCAGCATGCCCCTCTGCAAACTAGGTACCAAGAAAGGAGCAATGATTTTTTTAAAAATCATTATTAATTTAATAAATCCCCTATACAATCACATTCCTATACACACACACTATACATGGATGATGGGGGGAGGCGCTGTAAAGATTTTTCACACAGGGCGTCTAAAGCCGGCCCTGGTAACCTAATATTAAGTCTGGGGTTAGTTCCACAGTTCTATTCAAACTTTGGGTAGCATACAGTTTTACACATATGCACAAATGACCAGAAGCAGTGAAACAGGTTCACCCCCTCCCCTCCTCATTACATTACAGACACTTGGAAGATTTTCACGTTTCCGAGCCCTCATGGTTGAGTACAATAAAGGGTTACTCTTGCAATGTTCAAAGTGCATGGCAAGCAAAATAATGGATTTAAAAAGCTCATATGAAAAACTTGTTGTTCTAGAGGGGTAAATGTAATCCTCTGATCTCCATGGTATGGCGGTATTGAGCCTCTAAATTATAATCCATGATGTTGGGCAGATTAATTCCCCAATTAAATTATTTTGTTTTATTGTGAGTGCTGTGTGTTTCTCCCCAAAAGGAAGAAAAATGTCTAAGGATTTTCTTTTCATCACCAGATTTATAAAGGGTTATTGGGAGGGACTGGAAAACATAAGGACATTTTGGTGTAAATGCTTGATTTCGGTCTAATCAATTTCTAATTGTTTTGGCTTGATTACGTTCATGGATAATTAGTATTTGTAAGCACTGTGACTTAACACACACTCTAATTCATGGTTATAGGCATTTACTTGGCTTTGCACAACATAAAGAAAGGTTTTGCTGCTCCAATATGTTGATCATTTTTGGGTGCAAACTCATTTTATATAAACTGAAATACGCCGGCAGCATATAAGTACCTACATTACATTATCTTGTTAGATAGTATTGCTTACAGGGTATTGTCAAATTACGCAACGGTACTCAGTCACTCCTCCAGTCATCAGTGTGATGAATACATTTATTTAGAATGTTGGAGTGTTATAAAAACTATTTAGAATCAGACCTCCCCACGTTCCTGGGGAAGTTACCTACCTCTAATACAGAAAAAGTATTTTTGCTGCAGCTCAGCCTCTCCCTGAGAAATCACCACAGAAAATCCACTGCTTCTGATGATTTCTCTTCAAATCAGTAATTTTAGAAAGTAAAAAAAATAAATAAAAAAAGAGTCCACTGTTAACTTGTAAAGCAGTTCAGCAAATCAAGTGCTTTAGGGTTTTGAAGTTCCCCTTTAATTACCAGAATCTGTCTGTAAGGGTTATTTACTCAAATGAAGGTATTTAAAGTGAATAAAGCCAGAGTAGCCAAAATGACAGAATTTTTCCATTTTTATTATTCTGGCTTAAACGTGAAATTCACTTTGAATTCTCTCTTTAGAAAAGAAACCTGCATAATGCACGCCCCTCAATCTACACAAGTGGCCGGAACATTAGAGATTGTAATCCTCACTAACAATTAGCGAGCATTTCTTTTTACGGAGTCCCACTGTGCAGAAAGATAGAGGAACCGAGAGGCAGTTTTAGGTCTATGATGGAGCTATCCAAGACTAATAAAAGTATAAATCTATATTTGCATATTTGTGCTTTTAACTGCAAGGTCCCCGAGGAAGTCTCACTAGAAGACAAAACGCGTAGGACCACTTTTTACATTTAAAGAAATTTTTCATACGGCCTCCACTGTATCTTGTGCTCGATTGCATCTGTACCGGGAAAAAGAGCCAGAGAGAAAACATTAGAATCGGGAGTTCATTTATAGCCATTGTACCTGCCTCGGTATAGACTGAATTATGCGATTGTAGTATTTTTATCCCATTTCTGTACATGTAGATAAAGAGACTTGAAGTGAGAAGCTGTAGGAGTAGCTGCCACAGATCTACTCCCATTATTATACAAGTATTAATATTTTTGGTTTTTAAAATTTTATTTTATATATGGTTGGAGAGCTTTTTTATTTTTGTGTGTGTAAAAGTATACATCTATTTGTCCTATGGAGGAAAAGATAAATTGCAACTAGGCCAGGCACCTATTTATTCACGTGATTAGGATGTGTCAGATTGCAAGCTCCTTAGCAAAGTATCTTCTCTGTTTTATGGTGTGTGATTATATGATGCAATATAACCATAATATAATTTCTCTTGGCAAATTTCTTTTTTTTTAAATCAACATAAAGTAAATATGTACACTTCTACAAAGGCCAACACACTTATGCATGCAAACACACGGCCACGATCTGTCGTTCTGTCGAGAAATTTACTCCACTTGTGTTGGTTTATTATCTGAGGTTCAGATTTCCGGAGGACACAACGAAGAGATCCTATTTATTCCAGTTAAAGGGGCACTATCATGCCATACTTTTTCTAATCGTATTCCTCTTCTTTACTACTCAATCTTTCTTTTCATCTATTTCTAACCAAAAAAAAATGACAAAATAGGAATTACTTGTTTTATGCATTTTCCCTACGCTTGACACTGGATGCAGAGCTACTGTCATCAATAAGCAATAAGTGTCTATACCCCAGCAGTCACCAGCGACAGCTGCAAGGAATTGGCTCTATTGGCTGTGCTCGCAGGATTCTCCATAGACCTCAATACTGTACTCTTGCGCATGTGAAGAGGAACCACCAGAAGATGATGGCGGTGCCCACGAGGGACAGGCTCAGGTAACTAGAACTCACGTTTGCCTGCTCCCCACTGGATCCCTAGCGGTGCTGTCACCGTTTGGGGGGTCTTTGCTAATTATGTTGACAGTGCAACTTTAACTCAGTACTTTTAGTGTACAAATGCTGACACACTAACAGTAGTGGTAGAGCATTAGCAAAGGTTGTTTTGCAATGCTTTGCACGGAGGCGAACATTTCAATCAATCTGAAACTGCTTTTCAACTGTTTATGGATCAATATTTTAAAGTCTGAATATTCCAGTATTAAATTTCCTAATTTAGCACTATCACGTTTCTACAGACCTGCTGCTTCTGACAAATATATCTGAGGTTCCCTGCAGGATATGGTCATTAATAAATAGGTGCTGATTGTACAATGGAACATCTTTGGTTCCTTATGATGTTAAAAGCTTGTATCAATAATTAAAATACATTAAATTACTTTAAAACTCTAGTTAGTAAGGTTTACATCTTAAGGATGACTTATTTTGCCAGCACAATATTCATATGAAAAGATGAAAAATATATATGCAATAACAAATATTTGAAAACAAGACAAAAATAATATTACAATCATAAGTGCAGAAGAAAGGGTGTAAGCCATAAGTCCAGTGATGCAGATGTAAAACAGATGAAAGTATCTTGTAAATCCATTTTTTCTTGCGATAATTTTGGAATGCGTTTGTGAGATAGTCACTTAATCAAGTCTAAAGGTAGGATCTTCCCTTTAGAAGAGTGTTATTCCAGAATTATGTTAGTTCAATTATAAAAATACACTAATTTCATGTGTTATTTTACTTATATTCTTTTTCTCACACACATGATAAAGTACAGATAACCTTGTCTGAGGGACAAGCCCATTTCAGGCAGCCTATTACAAGATGCAAAACTTGTCATCTTCTTGTATAATGCACAATATATCTTTATTTATATATGATAAGATATATGGATGATCTAACAGGAATGTATCTAAACCTACATTCAGCACTTTTATGTCATAGCTTTGGGAGCTGAATATGGCCGTGAACCAGCATCGGGTTCCCAGAAGATCTATATGACACTGTAGTCACTAAAACAACTTTAGCTTAATCAAGCAGTTTTAGTGTATAGTTCATGCCCCTGGAGTCTTCGCTGCTCAATAATTTTGCATAAGCCATAAAAAATGATTTCATTTTCGATCAGATGTTTACTTATCGTAGAAGCATTTTATCTTCTGCTCTGTAAAAAATTTAATCACAGACAGGAGGACCCTGCAGGGTCTGGAAGGCTATTAACAGAGCAGGAGATAATAAATTCTAAATTAAACAGACTCTGCAATAAAGGGAGTGTAAAAATGAAATCTTTCTTTACAGGAAGTGTTTAGAAAGGCTGTGTAAGTGAGTAGTGCTGTACAGTATACACAAAGTGATTACATTCCAGAGAATGGATCAGTGAGACTGCAGGGGTATGATCTATGCACCAAAACTGCTTCATTAAACTAAAGTTGTGTTGGTGCCTATAGTATCCCTTTAAATTAAAAAGGATTCCTAATAATGTTACAAACCACCTTAAAAGTGTGAAGTATCCAAAAATGTAACAAATTCTAGTTAGAGGCAGCTTAACTTTTTTCTTTCACATACTTGCTTCGCAAAAAACAAATTAAATTGTTACTCCAGCCATCATAATCAGTTTTCTGTCTTACCTGGATTCTCACAAGGCAGGTTTACGAAATCCAACTTTTGTAGAGCTGCCATTGCCAGATGTCGATCCAGCCTCTCATTCATTGGCTGAGAGCATCAGCTGGATAATCTCAGCCAATGAATGATGCTCTGTGCATCAACATTTGCACAGAGCTGCCATTTGTCAGCCAAGATGCTGCCAGAGGTGGAGTTACACCTCCACCAGCAAAGTGAAACACTGCACGTGCAGACCCCAGGCACCATGACCACTTAAATTAACTGAAATAGTCATAATGCTTGGAGAAACTCTTTAACGCTCACTGAATTGTTGTGTTCTTTGTATGAACCTGTAATGTAGGAGAGAAGCTGCTTGGAAAGCCAACAGATCAGTAAACATACGAAAAGTGTCTATGCCAATGGTTTGATGGGGAGGAAAAAAAATGTGTTCAGTTGCCTGTTGTGGACCTATGCTGTGTGGTGCACGTATCTGCTTGGCAAAAAGGAACACCTGGCTAAGAATCAACAAGAACCTTGTTCCAAAGCTTTGGCATGGACAAATATAATACTTTAATTAGACCATGGTTTGTGGGTTTTGTTTTAAACAAAAGAAACAATTTTTATTTTTGGATACATCAGTTCAGGCAGACAATTACCATTAAGTAGGCTGTAATTCCATACGGACAAACACAGACGACATACTCCTTTATCAGATAACGAACCGTGTGAAAATAAGTCTGGGCACAGGAGAGTAACTGCGCATTTTACGTTTAGATTCTCCTGATACATGGACAATTCAAATACAGGAAGCATAAAAAAAATAATCAGAAAATCCTTCTAAAGTTCTTTAATATTTGACAAATTTGTGCGATTTGTTTGTGGAAATGTGAATTAAATTCTTGACGCCAAACTTGCAGTTGAATTCAGATGGAACACCACCACTAGTTTTAAAAGGGTTTAATGCCAACAGATCTCTTTCTTACAGGAACTCGAGAATTAATCGATAATAAATACTGTTTGCAACAAATGTGCTATATTCTTTTTAGGTTATCTTTTTTTTTTTTTTTTCATGATTTAGGGCTTAGAACATTAGTTGCACAGTTAAATAATTTTCCAATATAAAATATATTTCTAGAGGATCTTAGCAGTAAAATAATCTGTTATTTGGGAGCAGAGACATGCGACCCTGGAAACAGTTTTGGGCAGTTACAAAGGCTGTCATATGTGGGTTGAAGATAAGGGAGGGAAGAATAAGTCACTTCAGTTTTATCTCTCACCATCAAAATCTCATTAAGATCACTTGGAACTTATGCAGACCGCTTTTTCTTTTTCTTCTTCTTAGGTTTCTCTGTTTTGGTTGGAGAGTCCCCGTCCTTCTCCTTACTGTGCTCAGGTCTCTCTTCCTTATTCCTTTTGTTTTTCTTTTTCCGTTTTTGGGGTTTTTCATCTCCAAATTCATTGTCCGATGCTTGTGCATCGTCTTCCTCCTCAATGCATTTGGTGTCCTCAGATTTTATCTCCTTCTTCTTGGATTTTTTCTTTGGCAGTTGACTTTTTGTAGCAGTTTGGTTGATGTCATTTTCTAAATTTTCTATGACTTCAGTCTCTTTTAGACAATCAGATTCGATATTGCCATCTTGTTTGTTCCGTTTCTTCTTTTTGGACTTGTGTTTTGTGTCTTCAGAAGAATTCTCAGAGGAATTTACTGAACATTCCTTGATTTTCAGAGGTGCTGATTGTGTTCTGTTGGCTTGGGATTTCTTAAATTCAGCCATACGCTTGGCAAAATACTCATTCACTGATAGGGTGCTGGTCACTGTGTTTCCAGGCTCATAGTCCTCTGAGGGACTCTGATCTTTGGCCTGTTCATCAGACTCAACTTCAGACTCCTCCTAAAACAAATCGAGAGAGCGTGTTAAATATTGAGATATAATATGTACACACAGACATTTAGTCTGTGTTTTATAACCAACATTAATAACTGGAAAATTCAACATTCTCCATTTTTGACCAGTAAATCAGCAATTTATAAGAAGAGGTAAATATATAAATCAGACCAAAACCACATTATTACATTAGTAGCCCATCACAGGTTATTAATGGCAAAAGAAATAAGCTTTATTAAATTTTTTTACTGACATGGGACAAAGACGACATCCTGATTCTAAGTGTTTTGTTGGGACTATCGATGATACAAAATTGCGCACCCTGCTGTTTAAAGGGAAACTGTCATTTTCCTGGATTTTTAAATATGTTTCTTTTCGCTAATATATTTAAAAATTACGCATTTATGAGGTCTGAAAAATAAAGTGAAATGTAGAAATTCACACTTCCCAATTATAAACAAAACACCCAAGTTATAGGTGATTTTCAACATTTTATTCAATGGTGTGATTTTCCCTTTAAAGTAAATATCTATATTTTCTATGATTAGACACAGCAGTGTTATGTAAAAAGTTGTTTAGCACGTAATGTGCCACTATTCGATACTGGAAATATTTTGTTTAGTCAGTAAGCGTTTTGAGTCCAATTACGTTTCATACGTGTCAAAACATGAAAAACCAAATATTTCGAACTCACTTAAACAATTGTCAGCTTACAAACCATAATCTTTCCTATTTAATATTTCTTAATATCACTATTAACACTGTAAAATCACTGACTGGGTCTCTTTAAGCAACCCAGAGACATTTATTTTTTGTTTGTTAAATCAGTTTTTGGATATCTCTTCAAAATAACTTGAGACTAATGTGCCAAAAAATTTAAAAACAAGTCCATGGACATCAATAGAAAATGCTGTCTCAATATATTCCAGAGATAAACCAATATTACATTTCTGTAACCAAGGAACAGTAATTTTAGAGCAGAGTCACTCCAGAGCTAGATGGTTATATTAGATAACTCAAAATACTGTATGAGCAATGTGGCAACTGTCTGATATTCGTGTCAACTGTCTGATATTTGTGTAACTTGTAAAAACTTTGGCAAAAAAACATTCTGAAAACCCTATGAATGATGATGCAGAAAGAAATTCATGGATACCTGACCACGTCTCAGATCCCTAAGTTGGAGAGGGACAGTTGTAGCACAGGGACAATTATTTCTATGGCAAGTTTGCAGAAATAAAGGCAAATACATCCCACAAAAAAGTTTATAACATGCTTTATGTGTTTCATACATTTCAGCACTTGCTCATAAGCAATATCCACTTATAAAAAAGTACTGCTAAGTAATAAGTGCCCAAAGGTGCGAAATACGTCAAGCAAGATACAATAAATTTGTCAGTTGAATTTCTCCCTGTATATAATGACTGTCATTTGTGCTACTGACTTTGACTTCCTCCATATGGACCAACAACTAATGATCAGGAAAGAGGTGGCCATTTAAAAAAAAAATGTATGAAAGAACAAAAAAAACCAAAAAACAAAAACCTCAATCCCTTCCCTTCAATTCTACAAAACAATCAAGGAAGGCTAGAATTACCACACAGGATAGCTTGGATAGTTTCAGAAATGACGATTGGTAGAGAGAGATTGTAGTTTTTGCTACAGTTTTCAGTGATTCCATGCCTACTGAGTCTCAGAGTACAGAATGCGGACTCTAAAAGAACGGAGGTTTTGTAGGACATGTAGGACACCATGGCTGAGATAAATCAAAGAATTAGTGTTACTAACGTAATACAATCATTCCAAAACAAGAGTCTCTGCAAATGCATAAAATTGTGATCCCTTGCCATAGCTGCTGTTCTGCCCTTGGATGAGGTAATCATTACTGATAATATCAAGCAACCCAGAGAGAAGCATTAGTGGGCCTACTGTGCATGTGCTGCAATCTAATTGACAAGCAGCTTCTCTTTATAGAGATACATTATACCAAAGCCCTGTAACAGAAAGCATCTCTAAGGGCTGTCTGAGAGCTAGCCACTAGACAAGTTCACAGAAAAGACTAGGTTTACATCAACACTACTACATTAAGCTGGGCAATTTTCGCCACAAAAATTATTTTAATATAATAATCCATCAGGTTTTGAGAAGAAATATACATTTTTTATTTTTTTTAAACAAAGTATATGTACAAAAACAAAACAAAACAAACCAAGCACCCAAGGTGACCTAAGGTGCATAGATACGGCTGAAGGAGACTTTCATATACTAAAGTGGGGATGTATTTTTTATTTTTATTTATTTTTTACATATACTTCATTAAAAAAATAAAAATTAAGCTCCTTTCAAATCGAAAGAATTAGTATGTTAAAAAATAGGTTAGAGGTGAGGATGTCATTTAAGAGTATAACGCCTTGCATTAAAAACTAAATTACAAAGTGAGAAATATACAGGTGAGAGTGCAAATATGAGTTAAATTTCAACTCCAGCTTATGACATCCTTCTACATACAAACACAAACAGAAATGCAGAGAGTATACACATTGGCACACACAGTGTGGATTTTGGCTCTCCTTTACTGTATAGTGTTAGTACATTGGTGGGTGCTGTGGACCCTCAATTTTCCACCAAACTCCCTCCTTTACAAAGCCCACTGTACAGTGAAAATTGCCAATCACCCGGCACTCCCAAGCACCAGAAATTGCCAACACCCGGCTCCATTTACTCTTCTTTCTATTACGAATTCCGATTTTGACAGGTTAATTACTGTAACTGACTCCTGATATGAAGTAATGCTTCTGTATGAATTCTTAGCAGCGTTAAAACACTACCCTCACTTCTAAACCCCCTCTCTGCTCTTGGCTTTACCCAACATTTTTAAAAAGACATTTTGATCCTAGAAACAAGATCACCTTCCCCCCACACCCCCCGGTCACAAACTTTTATTTCGATAAGAAATGCAATAAGTACGGGCCAGTGCGCACAAAGCTAACAGGGCATGGAGACAAGCAGAACGGTGCCAAGCCTAAGAAACTATTCAGTGCCATGAGAGCTAATGGGGAAACATTAATCATTCGGAGGTCCTAGTAGATGCCAGCTCAGTGCCCTGCTAAAACACTGTCTGCGGTGCCTGCTGTTTAGTCATGGCAACATTTTAATAGCTACTGGTATCTAGCTAATCCACAGCACAGGCTATTAAACAGGTTAGATATATACACATAACATCCACAGACTAGAAATTTTCAAGGTAAGAATGCCTCCCCACCCTTCCGGAAGACGTTACCTTAAAAAAAATTCCAAATGTTAAACATAGCAATCTCTGCAGAGACGATTGACAAAGTGAATGAGCAAACATGCACAATTCTCCCAACATAATGGAAAATATTT